ACGGCATGCACGACTATGAGTACCCCCCCCCCCCGCCCTTCTCCGTTTCCCCGTGACTTGGCTGGTTCGGGATGCGTGGGCACGGCCTCTTGTTACCCTTTTCACACAATCAAACACACCGTCATAAAAGAGCGCCGGGAAGCACCTGCTCCCCATGTGCGACGTTTTCACCGCGGGGACCGTGTTCGACGCCCTGTGCCCGAAGCGAGCGGACGTCCCAGACAACCCTGGTGAGTCCGCGAGGAGGGTGTAAGGGTGTAGTGATGGTCTAGTTTCTGCGTTTGTGAGAGGTCAAGTGCGGTGCGACTCCAATACTGTTGTACAATGAGTGTCTTTTTTTTTTCATTCTTTTCATCGATTGGCTGAGCAATGAAAAAGACGCCAGTCTCAGTGCATCTTAGAGCAGGAAACGGCCATGATCTGGGACTCAAGCGAGGGGGCGTCGTGTGTGTGTGTGTGTCGTTTGTGCCGATGCCCCATGTATGTATGCTGGGTGACAGCTTGCTTCGCGTGCAGACAAGGCGATCTTATAGCAGGCGATGAGAGAAGGTTGTCCGGGGGGAGGAGCGTTAGGAAGGTTTGGCTAGTCCCACCGACCTATGCCCAGTAAAATGCCTCCATTGCGAAGAAGGGGGGGCTACCTTTTTCCAGACTACCTGCTGTGCAGCCGTTGGCAACCAACATTGTGCCCTCCCCCCCCCCCCCCCCCCCCCCCCCCCCCCCCCCCCCCCCCCNGTTGGGTTTTCGTCGCTGGCAACGACGTTGTAAGACAAGCCGGTCGCTTCTTGAGCTCGGCAACCAGGTTACCGCTTTTGTGTTACCTCTGTTTTTTGTTTGCGGTATCCATAATGGTGGTGGAGTAGATCATGTTGTGCGGGGTTGAGAGCCCTCACTCCGTTTAAAGGGGATGATTGCACCACCTTGCCTTGGTTATAACTGTCTCTGGGAGTGAAAGCACCAGAAAATAAAGTAAGTCGTACGCAGCTGTCATCTGTACGCAAGGAAGTACGCACAAGGGATGCAGCGCACCCTTCATGCGACTCGCCGCACACCTCACGGCGCTTGGTGCTTGGCGATGTGAGAGCCTGCTTTGGTGAGAACCCGGCGTGCTCCGTCCCGGCTTTGTAGGGATGCGAGGTCAATGGTCTAGCGACTACGGCATGCACGACAACGAGTACAACCTCCCCACCCCCCACTCCGTCCTCTCGAGGATGCGCGGTCAAAGGTTACTCTCTAGCTAAGGTGTGCGAAACCCTCCCTGTCTGCGGGGATCGGACAGGCCCGGGTTGTTCTGGGGAAGGTCTGGACGAGCTCTTGGACCTCATGGGGGAAGGCACCGAGGCGAGAGGGGTTGACGGCGTCAGGACCGGGAGGGTTCACGCCGAGGCACTCGCGGGACACGGCATCGGCGAGCGGTACGTGGGTACATAAGATGACACCGTGCTATGTGGTGATATTGGTGGAGTTCGCACCCTGTGTGATCGTTCGTCAAGGGAGATGAGAGACGGGTGGTAGTGAAGTTGGCAGGTACCCTGTGCGATCGCTGGATACGGCAAGTGATGGTGTGGCCAACACGGAGCTCAGGTTACAGTGACCACCATCATGAATGTCCTTACCCCCCTCCCAACCCTGACCTCTCGCGACGGGACGCATTCTCAGATCTCTGGCCAAGCTGCTGGCATCGTGCCGTGGGACAAGAAAAACAAAAACCTTCTGTGCAACAGTGAAGAAACGGGGCACTCCCTTCCCCCCCCCCCCTCTTTCGTTCCGCCTCGTTCCTGAAACCGACCAAGGCTAACGTTCGATGTGTTCCGGCGGTACTCGGAAGCCCTCTCGCGGGCCTTTCGTCCCTCCGACTCCCACCCTTCCTGGGAGGACCTGCGCATCCGACTGGGTCTCCACCCGTTGGAGTCGTTGATCATGGGGGAAGAGTTCGTCGCGGAGGTCCCCCGTTCTTCCTCTTCGCAGCTGGACCTGATGGCCCTCGCCGGGTGGTCCGGAAACCTCTTTCTCACGGACCGCCACCTGCTTCTGCACTTTCCCAAGCGGCAGCAGGTGTTGTTATTGCTGTTGCCGTGCTGTTGTTTCTGTTGCCGTTGTTGTTGTTGCTGTTGCCGTTGCTATTGTTGCTGTTGCCGTTGCTGTGGCTGTGGCTGGTGTTGCTGCCGCTGGAGTTTTCTAGGAACAAAGTGACGTCGCCGTGGATGACGTCACATGTCGACCAGAGTTTTTTGAGGATTGGCCAAACAGAAAACTGCGGGCACCTCTTTTCTCTCTCTCGGTCCGTTGTGTATGCTGCTACGTCTGTTTACCCCTTTTTACGTGGAGTGCTTGGCTTGACCGGTACCCTTTGTATTGTTTCACCATTCGCCTTGGAAGGTACATGTACTCACCGCGTTCGGCAATGATGTATCCGTTCTCGCGCATCTGTGCACCTTTCTTTATCTTGCGCTTTTCGTGGGCCCCCCTTTTGCACGGTCCTCCTGGCACTTTCGCGTATCGCAATCATCAGCGGCGTTGCCACGCCTGCGGAAGCTTTTGCGCTCCACGGTTTTGTTGGGGCCCTTTGCTTTTTTCGTTGAGATGTTTACCATTTGGTTGCGGCTTGCCGTACAAAGAATAATAATATAGAAGTATATTTTTCCGAACATAATGCATTTCCCCATTTTTTTTTTTTTTGTCATGACATGGCCAGGCTCGAGTTGTGCCCCTCGGGAGCGTTCAGGATGTTCGGGGGTCCAGCAGCCGCGCTGGTCCGTTCACGGTGGACGATGCCATCGAGCTCTTCGGCTGCGAGGCAAGAGCTTGGTACTTGCTGCGGCTGTTGTTGTCGCTGTCGTTGTTGTTGCTGCTGCTGCTGTAGCTGCTGCTGTTGCTATTGCTGTTGCTGTTGCTGCTGTTGCTGCTGTTGCTGCTGTTGCTTTTGCTGTTGCTGTTGCTGCTGTTGCTGCTGCTGCTACTGCTGCTGCGGCTGCTACATCTGCGACTCGTTCGATCTTGACCGTAACACACCTAATCAATGAAAATCACTCGTCCTTCTTTAGGTCCACACGGTCCCCCTCGGGCTTACCCGCGACTCATTAACAGTGGCCAAGGAGGCCTCAGCCGCCGCCGCCGCCGCCGCAGCCACCGCCGCCGCCGCGGCAGCGGCGGCAGCGGCGGCGGAGGCAGCTTCCGCACCGCCAACACCAGGAGCACCATCCTCCACCGCGCCGACCAGCAGCACCTCGACTTCCAGACCGAACGGCGCCCATCCCAACGGCTCCGGCGAATGGCCGCCAACGCTGCCGTCAGCGGCGGCCGGAGGATGCAACGGTGGCGGCGGTGGTGGCGGAAAGGTGGAGCGGGGACCGAGCGGCCACCGTACCCCAACTGGTGGCGGCAGCGGCGGGTTTGGGGTTGGGGTTGGTTTCGGAGGTAATGGCAGCGGCGGGTTCGGCGGCGGCGGCGGTGCGAGGGGGCACGGCGGAGGGGTGGAGGAGGCGGCGGCGGCGGCGGCGGCGGCGGCGACGGTGGAAGACGGAGCGGAGGTTCGCAAGGGCGAACGGAAGGCGTACCGGCTGGTACTGACAAAGGTACGGCATCAGGTCGGGGCGGGGGGTTGACGGAGGAAAACAGCAGGGAGGGATCACGTGCTAATTATTGTTTGTTTTATTTGCTTCTCTTGGTACAACGTGGCTTCTGGGCCTCAGGTAAAGTCTTGTTGTGGGGAACCGCCCCCCGCTACTCCCCCCCATGAATACAGCCGCATGTTGAACAAGCCGTCCTCTGGGGGGAAACGCCTTCCAACAATCCCACTCGACATTCGGACATGAAGGGGCGCGAGACTCTGTCCTTGTTCTGTGTGGCGCTGTCATTCGTATGCTTACGTTCGTACGTCCGTTGGTTTCGGTCCCAAGACACACGGTGGGATGCTACAAACACCCTGGGGGGGTACGAGGTACCCCGGGCCGCGCGCCCCCCCGCCCACCGTCCGTGAAACACTTGTTCTGCCGCACGGAGCCGTCATTCCCCATCTAGCTGCGTGGATGTGTTCGTGGCAGACAGTCCTAAACAGGGCGAGTTGTATGTTATCTCTCTTACCAACTCAGCATGACTTCCCCCCCCCCCCACTTTTCGGGACGGAATCCCCCCCTGAAACCCCCTACAGGTGAAGATGCAGAGGTTAGTGTCCAAGCCAGAGGAGTGCGGCGGAACTCGGCAGGAGTGGCTCGACTGCCTACGGGAGATGGTGGAGGTGAAGTTTAAGTAATGGACACGGCGCGAAAAAAAGCTGACACCACCGCCCGGTCTCTGCGTTTGACAGCCTTCGACTGTTACGTTTTGGCACACTGTTGTGCACCAAAGAGTTCCGACGCTCCGCTGGATCCATTGCAGTGGGCAGGGAAGGACATCACTCTGTTGTATTTTCTGCCTTCTCTCTTTCCCCGACTTGCCGAGAAAAGGCCGCGGGCGCTTCTCTTCCTGTGTGACTCGGAGCAGGCATGTCGAGCAAGCAACTCGTGCTATGTCTGCCGGTAGGCCCGGGAGGGGGGGGTGTACTCATAGTCGTGCATGCCGTAGTCGTTAGACCATTGACCTCGCATCCCTACAAAGCCGGGACGGAGCACGCCGGGTTCTCACCGGACCAGGCTCTCACATCACCAAGCGCGAAGCGCCGTGAGATATTCGGCGAGTCGCATGAAGGGTGCGCTGCATCCTGCTAAGGGTGTTCGGCATCTTGTGCTTACTTCCTTGCGTACGGATGACAGCTGCGTATGACTTAATTTATTTTCTGGTGCTTTCACTTCCAGAGACAGTTGTAAGCACTGTGTAACTGCCTCGAGGGTGCTTGACCATTTTAACAAAACGTGGTGCGATCATCGCCCTTGCGCGGATTGAGGGTTCTCCACCCCGCCCAACATGATCTACTCGACCACCATTATGGTTACCGCCAAAAAACAAAAACGGAGGTAAAAAAAAGAAAAACAGTAACCTGGTTGCCGAGTTCACGAAGTGAATTGGCTTGTTTTACAACGTCGTTGCCAAGCGACGAAAACCCGACCCCGATGGCAAACACCGGGGGGGGCGGCTTGTTTTACAACGTGGTTGCCAAGCGACGAAAACCCAACCCCGATGGCAAACACCGGGGGGGGGTGGTTGCTGTCACACAACGCTCTCCCACTCGAACAAAAATCAAGGCCCTGTGTACATTCCATCCATCCTAACAGAAGGTTGGCTGTTGGCTGTACGCACTTTTGACAACGAACCGAAAATCTTATCTTTCCTTGGGCTTTGTTTGTAGTGTCGTCGCAAGAGGCTTGGCGTGTTCGATATTTTCACACCCTCGGCCAACATTCTCTCACCAATGTAAAAAAACTCTACGCATTCGTCGATCGTTTTTCTTTCAGGCGCACAAGCTCTCCCGAAAACCGCGTCCAACGCCGCCGCCGCCTCCGCCGTCAAGACGACGGGAGTACGAGGGTGACGGGAGAAGAGGCGGCGGCGGCGGCGGTGAGCCGAGCTTTCCGCCGCTGTTTGCCGCCGCGAGGACGTCGGCGAGCCTCCCCGCGGGGAGCCCCGCGGCTGCCACCGCCGACAGGGGGGGTGGGGCTAGGGCGGCGACGACGACCCCGGCTGTTCCACCTGCGCACACGCGCACCCGCTCGGGAAGCAGCAGCAGCAGCGTCAGCGGCAGCGGCAGCGCCTACAGCGGCGGACCTCCTCACGACGAAGCCTTCCTTCGCTTGCCTTCACAACACGTCGGCCAGCCGCCATCGCGGTGGTCTGCGACAGCAAGTTCGCTCGGGAATGGCCAACCGAGCGCCACCGCCGCCCCCGGCGGTGGCGGAGGCGGAGGGGGCTTGCCGCGGGGGCGAGAGCTGAGAAGGCTGGCGAAGAAGATCGGCGCGCTCTTGAGAGACTACTCACCATCTTCGAGCCTGGAAGCGTTCAAGGTGGAGGAGGCTCGCCTCCGGCTCTGGGTGAGGGGTTGCGCACGGGGAAGATGGTGCTTGTTGCCTTGTCGGGGTGTTGGCCGTGGCTGTAGAGGGTACCCAGAGCTTAGGGCTCTCTCGAATTTCCGGCAGCACGCATGCCATCCATGCGTGCGTGTTCAAACCCTTTGCCTGTGTGCCTCATATCGCGTGACGGGGGTGTGTGGCAGTGTTTTTGTTTTGTTCCGTGGGCCGAACGATGGGCCCGGCGATGGTTACGTTCCGGAGAGGGAGAGGGGGAAGCTACAATGCGAGAGCCCGATGGGTGTGATGTGCACGATTCCAAGACGTAAGAGACGTGGAGAGGCGTGTGCGACCGATGTAGAGCTGCATTCTTCTAGCACCTCCCTGCTCCACTTGCTTTCAAGTGCTGAGCATGTTGTGCCACCTCCCCCCCCCCCCCG